CCCCCCCAACTTCAAAACCATATTCACACCTAAAAGTATTAACAGTACTAGACAATACTTTTATAAAAGATTCCTATAAAGTTGTTAAAATCAAATTTGGGTTTTAGAAGGAATCCTGTCTGGACTGAATCTACTTCAAAGCTCCAAATAATTTAGTTCCACATAAACTGAGTAGCATATAAAAATAAAAGTGTATATGCCCTGGCTGGTGTTGCTCAGTGGTTGGAGCATCTGCCTTTGCATCGAAGGGTCGAGGGTTTGATTCTTAGTCAAGGGCATATACCTGGGTTGCAGGATCGATCCCTGGCCCTGGCTGGGGCACATGCAGGAGGCAACCAATCAATGTGTCTCTCTCACACTGATGTTTTTTTCTCTCCCCCCACCCCAACCTCACCTCCCTTCCACTCTCTGTAAAAAATCAATGGAAAAAATATCTTCAAGTAAAGATTAACAAAATAAAAAAAAGTGTATTAAGTCATATTCCTAATTAATGTATGTCTAATGTAATGTGAATTTTTGAGATTATATTAATATTCATGTACTTTTCTTGATTTAACAGCTTTTAACCTGGAGACTTGTCGGCTTATGGTTTCAATGCTGGATGTATCCTTTACCTGGATTGCTGCCTAGAGTATTTTTTCTTGTCAAAAAATTCCTCCCTAAAGGAATTCATCTAAGAATTAATACCTGGTAAAAACACAGTGACAAATGACCAAAAAATGTTTCTAAAATCATTAGCTTTTAAGATGGAATTTGGAAAAAGGAAGGAAGCTTAGTAAATAGAATGTAGGTTCAAGAGTTTAAGGAAGCATCGCGGGAGAGCAGTGTAGAACTCGGAGTGGTCAGGGAAACTTTGCTTTAACAGTGATTGCTGTGTGTCACAGACTCTCACCTGACCTTCAGTCAGTGGAATTTTCACAGCACAGTTGTTGGAATCAAGTGCTGACCCTATAGTGCCTTCCATTCCACCTCGTTTTCAAAAGTGAAACCTCTCTGGGAGGGCTGGCTTTCGTAGGGAGTGTTTGGGCCAACAAGGACCACAGGACAGAAGGAATTCAGCAGAGCCTAGGGCACCCAGAAAGCACAGCCAGTTCCAGTAACAAGAGTGGTTTTTACATGTGGCTCACAATGACCATGTCATTTCCTTGTAATCACATCACATAGATTATCTTTGTCCCCTCAATGAAAAGATGGACTCAGGGCTTTTTCTCCTTAGGCCCTGTTTATTATACTATTAGAGTATCTTTCTGTTAGAGCACACCAAGGAGAACGTGGAACATGTTTAACCCTTGTAGCGGAAAGAACATCATATTTCCTTATCCTTGATCTTTGATTTAATCATTAGAAAACGTTGCCCCAAAAAACGATGTTTTAATCCTTAATTGCAGTTCAGAGAGATCTGTCAGGCACGATGGGTTTCAGTGAATTTAAAGAACTCTGGTCTGTGCTGAATGGCTGGAGACAACATTTCATCAGTTTTGACAGCGATAGGAGTGGAACAGTGGAACCTCAAGAATTGCAGAAGGCCCTCACAACAATGGGTAGGTATGGGGAGGAGGAATTTTCTTTTTTTTAATTTCTAAAACTCAGTGCTCCATGAAGGCACTTTCTTTATTCTCAAAGTATTGTGTATTCATAGTGCTCTCAGTCTTACAAAAATGTGCTTGATTAGTTTAATCATCTTTCTGTAATCCTTTTAACTTTTTTTGGCTGAATGAATTTTCTTCCTTTTAGGATTTCGGTTGAGTCCCCAGGCTGTGAATTCAATTGCAAAACGATACAGCACCAATGGAAAGATCGCCTTCGATGACTACATCGCCTGCTGCGTCAAGCTGCGTGCTCTGACAGGTGTGTTCTTTAGAGGGTGTCGTCACCATAGGCCAAGATGACACAAGCTGTTATGACATTTCGTTTCCCGGTGCTTCTGAACTTTTATTGTCCCAATCTTTTTTCTTCTTCTAACTTATGTGGCTTTTTAACATTGCTGTTAAACTTATCTAGCAGAATACTTTTTTTCAGATATTTTTTCAGATTTGTACATGATCTGCCATTTAAAACACCCTGACTGAATTTTACTGAAATGTTCCAAAACATAACAAAATTTTTGATCGGAGTATGAACAGTATTCTGTGACTTCTCCCTAGCATGTGAAATATTTGAAGAGAGTGAAATTACTCATTTGTAGCTCTCTTTCCTGGTTCCTCCTGATGGAGAGTAATTTAAAATAGTGATCATCTATTTCAGGTGTATTTCTTAAATGATGAGATATCAATAATCTCTGTACTTTCTATTCCTTTTATTCTTTTTCTTTCTTTTGTATATCTTTTCTTGTTCCATTTCTTTTTAGTCTTTAATTTGGGTTTTATAATTTTTATTCATCCTAACAAAAATTTGAGGGCAGATTTTTAATTAAATTCTTTTCAATAGGGCAGAGCTCAAATGGGTGGAATACTTTATCACAGCCCATTTGTCATAGTAGGGACTCAGTCCATTTTCTAATTAAACAATATCATGATATTAAGGAGGTTGAAATTCTGTGTTTTCATCAAAATTAAGCAATGGCCTCAGAAGTCACATGGCTTTTACTGACTTTGGAATGTTTTCTTCCAACTGCACATTGAAAACGACAGTAGGCCAACTTCTGGACATTGTATTACTTCATTGTATGTTATTTCTATTCATATTCATACAGTTGACTGCTTTGGTGTTTTGGTTATGTCAGCTAGTTGTACAATTTAAATGTTACTGCAGTGTGAACCCAAAGCCAAATTAATTAACTCTTGTGCGTTCATATAAGATGTTTAAAAAAAACCCACAAATTTTACTGTCGTGTTTTACAGACAGCTTTCGAAGACGGGATACTGCTCAGCAAGGTGTCGTGAATTTCCCATATGATGATGTAAGTCTCATTGAATTCAGAACTGAGTAGATGGATACGACATACACCAAATGGGCATCCCTTTTCAAGTTACCTGTTAGGAGCATCTTAAGGATGCCCGAGGAATCCAGGCTTAAATGGTTAGGAGTTACCATTCAAAATTTATGAATTTCATTTATTATTTGAATATCTTATCCCTAGGCCACTGTTTGCTTTGCATTAGAAGGCTTAGGTCAAAGCCCTGCTTGTCCCACTCACGAGCTGGGCCACTTAGGCAGGTTTCTTCATTGCTCCAGGGCTGTTTGAGGGAAGAAGTAGTCATAAGGCCTTCTTCACTGGGCTGTTGTGACATTTCAATCAGAAATGTCCTTCAAAAACATCATGCAGATGTTGTATCTGCCTTTGCCTTCATCTCAGTCACTGAGAAGTAACTAACAATTCAAAACTGTATTTGACACACCCGTGTCCTTCATGGAGGACGTCAGGCACAAACTTACATCACAATTTAAAACAACGTGTTTACTAAACAGCCACTCTAAATGAGGCAGGATAAGGCCAGTCACCAGTGTGAATGTAACCAAGGGCCATATTTGCTTGTATTAGTTTGCTATATTTAACACAGCTAGGGAGATGTTTAGTTGTTCCTTCATGTTTTGCTTTAAAGCCATTGATTTCTTAAAAAATTACTTGTAGAATAAAATCACTGTGGTAACCGAGTAAACCAAGTGTTTCTCCATTACAGAATACAAAGATGCAGCTGCTGCACTTACTTATACTTTAAAAAGGCTTGTGTGTAAATATGTTTATTTTTTCTGCTTCAAGATGTGTTCTCTTTAGCGTGCAACTTCTCAGGTGACAGTCCCGTCACTGTTTCCAAAGGAGAGGCAGCCTGTGGAGTGGAAGGTGCACAGCCTTTGGCCTCAGATGGGGCCACTTAAGAGATACCTAAACATCTTGACCCTTAGTTTCCTTTTCCCTGAAATGGGACCAGTCAGCTTGGCCTTGCAGGAATGCTGCGAGGATTAGCAGTGCACAGTCCTCCCTGGTGTTAGAAGAGTGGAAAAGAAAATTGATAAGAGAAAACAGGGTCTATTGGTGTGTGTTTAGTGGTGGAGCCAGCAGACATTTCACAGCACATGCCAATGCTTCTAAACTGGGTTTCTGAATTGCAGAAGGGTCAGAGAATCTGTTTATGTGCACACATATACTTGCATGCTACCACTTAATTAATTCAGCAGGTTTTGAGGGAAGAAACTATTTAAAGGAGCTCCGTTAGAATAATGGGGTAATCCTGTGCAGTTTGGAAGTCCCCACATGATATAAACGTATAAACTCAACTATTACTTCTTTTTGGGAATAGGTACCTTTGACCATGACCATTTTAGAGTCTTAGATGATATTTATAGTATTTGGAATTTAAATAATTCTTTATCCATTGGAGTAAAATCTACTTCTGGTAAGCTTTGATGTGAGAAACCCATTGTTTTTTGTTTGTTTTTTTTTAACCTTCACCCAAGGGTATGCTTATTGATTTTAGAGAGAGAGGAATGGGGAGAGAGAAAGAGAGAAACATCGAGGTTAGAGAGAAACATTGATCGGTTGCCTCCTATTCATGCCCAGACCAGGAATTGAACCCACAACCTTTTTGGTGTATGGGACAACGTTCCAGTCAACTGAGCCACCTGCCGGGCCACCCACTGGGTTTTATATTAGACTGCTTCCCTCAAAAAAATGAGCCTTTCCATACGTTATTTACTCTTATTTTATAAAGGGTTTTTTTGAAATCCATAATTCAGATTAGAATACGAAAAAGTAAGCTGCCTAAAAATAAGTTAGGGTGTATTAAGCTTAAGAGATCTGCAGTGTGATGCTGACTTTTCTCTTTCAGTTCATTCAGTGTGTCATGAGTATTTAAACCAAGAGGACGCTGTGTGAACATCACCGACATTCCAGCTGGAGCTCTCTTGCTCTTCGCTTGCCTTCAGTAACGCATGTAAACTTGCTTCGCCACTTTTCCTTAACAGCTGTTGTAAAGGTTTATTACTTTATGTACATCTGAGGTTTTTGTTTTCAGTTTAGATAATAAATTCTTTGGAATTTTATTAATATAAGATCAGTTCCATTACACTGTTTAGAAGTTCCTTGAGCCATTTGTCATACGCCTTTTCTTCTTGCTAAACCTGTTTTTATGTGAACTTTTAAGTGTGCAAAAATGTCTAAGGCACATTATATACTTTTCACTGTAGGATACTAAAACCATGATGCAGTTGTTGCTATTCATCTCCTAGAAGGGCTTTTGCATGGTCTTGAGAGCTTTATGTGTGCAGTATCTTATCGTGTAAAATGTTTTATACCTACTTGGATGCAAAAAAACCCGTGGTAATCCATGTCAGGGTTCACCTTAGTGGAAACTTAGTGCAGCTTTAAGGCTTACAGATGTTTTGATGGCCATATGAATGGACGGGAACAGGAGTGATTATTCTCTGTCTCTCGAAAACCTATTAAATAATTTGAGTGGCAAATACTGTCTGTCACCGAGATCTTCATCATCATCCACGTAGACCTTTGTTAACCAGACTTAAAAACCTTGTACTTTATGAGCTTAACTATGTATAAAAGAAAAATAACAGAAAAAGACTAAGGGAATATACGAAAATTTTAACTATAATTATTTTGGCTAATAGAGTTCTAGGTGATTTAACTTACTTTATGTGTTTCAGTATTTTCCAAGTTTTCTATAATGTGTGTGCTTTCCTTTTAAAATCTGATGTTAATTTTTTAAATATTGATACTTTCATTTTGATATGCCATGTGTTCACACTTACATTAAAAAATATACGCAGCAAAAAGATCTGGAAATTGTGTACCAGAATGTTGATGTGACTGCCACTGGGTGTCAGGATCATGAGTTCATTTTCTTCCTTCCTACTACTTTTCCAAATGTTCTTTGATAAGCAAGTATTACATTTATAGTGGAGGGCTTTTTAGAAAAATTTTGAACCGTGTGCTTTTTTAAGTAAGATCTGGATTCTAATGCTGGCTGTGCCTCTTACTATATAGGGTGCCCCCCCCAAATGTATACACATACTTTGTATAATTATAAAGGCAGTGTTTATTAGAATACATTTCATTTTCAAAATTGAGCCTATCAACTGTTAAAGTGTGCATACATTTTGGGGGGACACCTGTTCATGTGGTTTGATCATTTTATATAATCTCAGAGCCTCAATTTCCCATCTATTACCTCTGGGGTAAATCTAACTATGAAAATGTGTGTTGGTATCATAAATACCAAATTGTTTCTGTTAACATTTAAAGCTGGCCTGGTTTGCTCCTTTATGCAAGATTGCTTAACAGATAAAATAATGAAATCAGTCTGTTTTCTCCCTGCCAGTAAAATACCTGTATAATTTTAGAGCATAATGTGATGTTAACCGATGAAAATAAAGCATTTCTAAGCATCATTAGCCACATTTCACCAGTTATTTTTTCAAATATTGCTAAAAAAAGTATATTCATTTTATATGCATTTATTCAACCCTAACTTACATATTTATGTCAAGTAGTCACACCTGGGCTACGTAGTAGACTGTGAAGCAAGCCTGCTTTATACAGGGTGGGGCAGAAGTAGGTTTACAGTTGTTCGTGTGAAAAATACAATAAACAGTAATACAAGAACAAACTTTTGCGTACTCACAATTGTAAACCTACTTTTGCCCCACCCTCTATTATGTGGTGAGTGTAGGCTTCATTCCAGATGTATTGTCTGAGGCACAAAGCTTGGCTTGGTCCTGAGCTGTCCAGAAAAGGGCCAAAGGGAGCTCAGAGGACCAGGAGGGAACACCCTTCGAGTCCCAGCCCCTGCTGTTGGCTTCGGACTCACCAGGATCCTCTGAAGAAGTCAATTTAAGGAAAGGGCCGTTTTCTGGATGACGCATATGACAAGAAGGCCCTTGCTGACTCAAGGTTATGGGCCGTATTTTAACCATCCGACTGCCTTGATAAGTCCCGAGGTGAGCTGCATCTACCATCATTCTGAATTTGTTTTCGGGTAAGTGCTAAAGTATTACAAAACCATGTCTCTGAAATACCCAATTCAGTTTTAATTATTGATACCTTGTGGCAAGTCTCCTTATCTCCTCCCCTTCTACTTTCGCTGTTTCTTTCCGAAAGCATGGAGCCTGGTCTTCAGCGCGCCTCTGCAGTTAGAAAGTTTCCTTCCCCTTGACAAATTTGACCTATACATCTCCTTTCTTTAATTACAGCCGAAGTCTTCATTACAAGTGAATCTCGTGTTGCCTTATTTCTATTTTATGCTGGGTGGTGTGTTTCATTCACTATATACCTCCGGTGCACCCTCTCCCACTTTACAGGCGTTTCTTGGTCTGTTTTTCTGGCAAAGCTGTGAAGTGAAACCTGAAGACTTCACTTATTTGGAGAATTAAGTTCCTCCAATTACCCTGACTCATGATTTAATTTTGCACATGTGTGCTTTAGTCATGTGTTTCAAGAGATGCATGAGTTGTGAGGTACTTACACCCTTTTCAAGGATGTCCATAGGGTGTGGCTCCAGGAGGCCTGGTGCTTCCCTGGGGACCCCTGGCGTGCAACTTATCTAACTGGTCACAGCTCTCGCTCCTGTGGAGCCAAAGTGGAATTTAGGCTCCAATGACACATGATATTCCGGGGGGTACCGCTGGTCCACGAGATGGCATGTGAGCTGAAACTTCTCTTTCTGCACTAGCCTTTGCTGTCACTCGGCTGAGTGTGTCACTGTCTCAGTACTCATCTTCATGAACTATTACATATGCCTAAAACAAATACAAGAAATGGAGCTCTATGTAATCACAAGTTTTTTTACTCATCATAAATGTACAAGCCCTTAACCAGTGACTTCTGTTTTTCTCACACACTACTTTTTCCCTCAGCAGTCTGAGCTAAAGGCCAGGGGAATGCAAGTACCGGGGTAAAGACTGGCAGGTGGAACGGCTGCTTGGGAGACGACAAAGCGGCCAGTGGAACAGGTTTTCGGTCTATGATCAGGAACCTAAACGGCCTGCCAAGGCCCATGGCGTGAGTCTAACACAGATGAGCCTATTAAATAAGCACCACTGCCTGGGCCCCAGGTCAGGAAATAGGAAACTGGTCCTTGTTAGGGTCCAGGGGAACATCCACGAAGGTGAGGCAAAGCAGGTGGGTAAAGGGGGGAGGCTCTGCCTGCCATCCAGCTGAGGAAACTGTCCAACACCGAGCATCTGAGTTTTACTAAAGGACCACTGTATTTCTCATCATGCTGATGGTCCAAGAAATCCCCCTATCATGAACCCCACAAAGCTTCTGAAAGACAACCTGGCTGGGAGAAAAACAGGATTAAAGGGAGTTATGCATCAAAATAACATTGATCTTTTATTGAAAGTCACTTTATTGATGTTACAATGAGAGTAACATAGAAAACCATGGTATCTTATTAGCTTCAGAAGTGAACGCTAATAAAATTGTGCCAGAAATCTGAACCTCGAGTTACAGTGAGCTTTACAGTGAGCAAGATTGTGTTAACCTACAATATAAGAACTTTATAACTGGAACAGCCATAAAACAAATCACACTTGCTCAGGAAAGCAACTGCCATACACATTTCAGTTGGTGTTTGCCAAAACCCAGTAATTTTTAAAACAGCTTAAGATCCTGAAGTGCAGAGAGGCAGAGACAATACAAGGTTAAAACGAAGCCAATCTATGTATCTACACATGATTGCCTGGTTACTGAAAGTGAAACTGTGCTGTTACCACTTCCCCACAAAGTGGCATCTACTGTCTAGATGGGACATCACCCCTCGAAGATGACAGATGTGGAAAACACTAGCACAGACCTACCCTGGCTAACAATCTCTATGTTTAGGTAGAATGCCCAGTTCCTAAAAGAAGTCTTTTTGGGATGCTAGGTGGGAGGAGCAAGTCTCTCCCAGCAAGTTAAAAAAGGAGAGCATGCTTGCTTATCCTGAATAAACCTATCGTTAAGCACTTTTGAAGTTAGTGTAAAAAAAAACTTTTCCATATAAAACAAAGGTCTTGGGTCATTTTTGCCCACTAAAAAGACTGTTGAATCACAGTTTGACTTTTGTGCTGGATTAGAAAAGAAAACGGGTTTCTGATCAGGCAGTGATACACACGTATAATTTAGCAAGAACTTTTGGATTGTTACTGAATAAATGTATTCATATCAGCACATTCTGTATTGTGTATACCAGCATCTGGTATAACTTAGCACCGCTGAGTTTAAAGATTTGGGGCTATTTTCATTATTTTAGAGCTTGACCATCAAAACACAAATCTGCATCTGAAACTATAAATAGGCTAAGTCCTAAAGTCAATGTAGATTAGTATTATGTTTGTGTATGTTTTTTTAACTTGAGAGGAAATTGTCCTTTTCTTGATAAACTCTGAAAACTTGATGATTTTTAAGTACATTATATTACTTAACAAGATTGCTAGTCTCATTGTATGCCTTTTTCTAAAAAACAAAACAAAACACATTTTCTCTGGTTTTGAGTTCAAGAAAACCTAAAAACATGACATGATGATGCCCTTGAGCAAAATCCGGCCAGCCTCGCAGGACCTCCAGGTACAAAACAGGTTCTACGAACAATGTGACAGGAAGCAGTGACTGGCCCATTGGGGGCTGGACTGTGGACTATTAGAAAGCCAACACTCAGGAAAACTGCAAAGCACACAGGTCTGTTGTAGGCACTCAGCACCTCTCTCCCCATCTCACCCCAAGTGACCATCCTGTGCTCGGCTGCAGGGCCAGCTTCTGAGCTCTGCATGTGCCGCTCCATGACCCCAGGCTGGCTGCTGCTGATCTCCCCTCCATCCTGTAACACTGCAGTCCATGCTCAGGTGCTGGTGGGAGAAGATGAAAGTACCTCTGCCCCCTATTCTGCATCCCTATGGTTCTCCCAAGTGCCAATTTAGGCCAAAAGAAGGGATTTAACCTCCATGACATGAAAGTTCCTAGTCAGGAGAAATGGGCTGACAGCTACTAGACAGGGAGCAACTTTGGAAGAAGGAGGGTCTGGAAGCATCTCAAACCCCACAGCAAGGCGGCTTACTGTCTGTCAGGCTCTGGATGTAAAGGACAAACACGCTAGGCAGGTTTTTGTTTTGTTTTAATGGTGTGATAGCTAAGGTCCTACATCTTTGTTCACTCTGCATCAGGTGCTAGCAGAGTTGCTCTTGCATTAAAGCATCTGCCCACAGAGCATACGCTAGGAGCATGCGCCCAGGGTTCCCAGCAGGTGTGGCTGCTCCCCCGACACAGGCCCATTTTCACAAGAGCGAGCCGGCCACCCCGCAATCCCATAAACAGGGAAGCTATTTATCAAAGTCCTTAGCTCTCCCCATGCCGGAGGGAAGCTGCATCCAAAATCAGAGTAGTCTTACAGAGTCAGAAAATATCTCAGAGGGGGAAACATCTTAAAAGCTGAGCTCCAAATTAAGCCAGAGTCCATAGACATGCTTGCCGCTTATATATTTTAAGCTAGTAGAATAAGAAGAAAATTCACCTGGGCTCCATTTAAGATAAAAACAAAAACAAAAAAAAACATTTGGGTGACAGATTTAGAAGAAAACAGAAGTGAAAGGAGAAAGGTCATTAGGCTGAAAGTAGACATTGGGCTGCAAATGGGAGTCAAAGCGTTTCATGGAAAATTCGTGTGAGCTCACCCACTGGTAGGGTGGCACTGCAACGTGCTGCCCGCGGGCCTCGGGCAGCAGCCGCCGTACCTCCCTTCACTCCTGCACCCCCTTCACTCCCTGCCACACTGTTCCCCATATGCTCTGCAGGCTACTCTATATCCTTCCCCAAACTTCCCTTTCCTTCAAGCAAAATGAAGCGAAATAAAATAGTCTTCCCCTTAGGTTAGGATTTATTATTATGGTGAGTAACACAAGGAAATACTTAAAGGGCTAAATATGTAAGTTAAAATAGAGCTACATGACAGCAGAAAATGAAGACTGGATGAAATAAATGAACAGACTTGATTTTGAAACAGTGAACAAAGTAAATAGAAATACCGTTATTTCCTCTGGCCCACAGGTAACAAACTAAAGAATACAATCTAAAAAGAGTAGAAGTAATGTAGCCCCAAAAGATCTGGGACCATGGGCAGAGCTAAATTATACAAATGTGCAAGGGAATCAACCAAAAAAAAAGACTTCCTTCTCTAGAAGCATGCAAAATATCTAATTCTATCTTTTCAGCAACTTCTTTTAGAAACCTTACCAATCTTATGTTCAGAAATCTATGCTGGACCGACCTTATGTATAAATACAATTTTAAAAGCCTTTTTAAAGCAAGGGGGAAGTGAAAAAGAAACCGTATTATCACCTAATAAGCACTTCTATCAAAATACTTTTGGCATTTTAACCTTACATTTACTTTATTAGTCACCTTTGTTTGTTTTTAAGGAGTAGCACTAGGGTTTCTGGAAATATATATATATATATATATATATATATATAGCAACTGCAGCAGGTTGAAAGCCCTCATTGTGCAGCAGTTTGAGTTTATTCCCTTCAGCAGACTGCAGAATGTGAGCCTGGGGATCACATTCTAGCTGGAAGAGGCCAGAGGATGCCGCCACTTCCTATCTAAAGGAAGAGTGGCTGGACACAAGAGGCCAGTCAGTCTGTCCCATCAGTTCCTATGACCCCACACCTCCCTTGCTGACACTTAGTGGAGAGATTTAATGTTTCTTTAAATCAAAGTTTACTACACTGGAATGACTATGGATTAAATGGAACATCCCAGGCAACAGGGCTGTCAATGTGAAGTCTTACCTATGCACAAAACTTTGGAAAAGAAAAAGGCATACAATGGAACATACAGGCCAAATAACTGCTCTTCTCTGCTTAGCATAATAGTCCTACATATGGTTGACTGGGGGTATAAATATTAGTTACATGACACAAACTGCTACACAGCCTCAAAGTTCTCCAAAATAGACATACAAAAAAATAGTAATAATGCTGTGCTTGTGTTTAGTGTCTTGGGCCCATTCTCCCTGCCTCCGTGGATAAAAATTCATAGATATTTAATACATCTAGAACACCAACCATGAGTACACATATATGTATTTCTCAAAATTATCCACTAAAATGATAATTGCCAAAGAATCTTGCAAGTGGCTGTAAAAATGTTTAAACATTCTTATAGTAGATACTGAGATACTGAGAGTACACTGTTAAAGCTACTATAAAATCATAATCTCTCTGCAAACAAAACACTTTCATTCAGTTCCATATGAAGGTTATTACCAAAGATGATGATAAACTATGTATTTACCTCTAAAGCAACCATGTTGCCCAAAAGGCACATAATAATGATTTTCAATTGAAATAATAATTTTCATCTAAAAATAACTGAGGAAAGAGAGAAAGGGGTGAGATCTGTTGATTACATAGCTATCCATTTGTGGATTCTTTCAAGTTAGGGCTTGTGTAATGGTAACTAGGGAGCATATATACACAAGGTACCTTACATTCAAATCTATAAGCTCTTTTATAGTCAAAATAAACCTTATACATTAGCATTTTTTACACTCAATACCAGAAAACATTCAGTGCACATTAGCATGATCTTGGTCAAAAGCCACTTTACTTGCTATATCTATAAATCTATCTGCCCTCCTGCCCTTGGCTTGTGCTAGGTGGCAAAGTCACCCAACACACCCAAACCTTAGACTGATGGATCATTTTTGTAGTCTTGACAGTTACATCCCTTCCTGTCAGTAAAAATGCTGTTTATATTTTATCATTTTGGTTAGTTAAATTGATTTTCAAACGTTTTCAAAGACTTTCAGAAGAGAGGTTCATTAGGAGACATAAACACACACAGTAAAAAACATTGCCTTTTAACTCAGCCAGTCTGTTTGGGCATCCCAGATGATCACACATGGAAAGGAAATGGATTTTGTCCATGACACTAATGGGAGAGATCCAATTTAGAAGATATTTCTGCAATCTTGTCTGCAGATTTCATTCCTCTCAAGAAAAAGGAGAGAAAATGAAGAAACTCAGAAGTAGTGTTCACATCAGAGTATTTGGTTGATCCCATCAATTTCTGAGCTTGACAGGGAAGTTTCCTTGGGGAAGTTTTCTTTTAGAATGACAGAGCTGCATGTGACAGCTATCAACTCTGGTTTTAAAGAAGATTTAACATAGATTTCTCACTGTTCCACGGATTTAAAAAATAGAGAGGTCAAAACATCAGATTCTTTCCCCTGCCAGCTGTTTGGGTAACTTCCCAGGGCAGCACACTTGCGGCTGTAGGTTTCTTTTAACCCTTTGCGGCCTATTGAGGCTTCCCAGCCCAGCTAGTAGAACCTTCCATCATCTCGCTTCCAAGTCAGTGCAGAATGGCCTGTGGGGACTCAAGCATCCCACTAATGATAAATGTCCTTAGTAAACAGTGTAAAAGTTGTTTTTATCAAAACAAGTCATTCGTTTCACAGATAAGGACGGCTGCAAAGTTTTATTAAAGAACAAAACTTGAGGCCTCAAAGGATCAGAGCAGTGATTTTCAACAGGTGTGCCGCAAGAATTTGTAAAACATGCAATGCCTGACTATTTAATCAGGGGCACTGACCTCTTTTCCCTTAGACCGTCAAATAAAAAAATGGCAATGGTCAATACAACAATAACCATTTGGTGTGAATGAATCAAAATTGTATCTATTTTTTTGGTCAGATTGGCAAAAAATATATTTTGGTATGTGGCAGAATTTTAGTCATTAGGGTACGTGTGCCATGAGATGAAAAGGGTTGAAAATCGCGGCGTTAGAGTATTGGCAAGTTGGGAGCCACCAATGCATCAGCAGCCTGTGGGCTCATGTATCTTCGATGCACTTGCTTAATCTTCGCAGGATGTGCTGCTACAGGGCTCACAGGCCTCCAGAGTGAGACGAGCAGATGTGCTGTTGTGCTGAAAAATACCAGCTGCTGGGGCAGCCACTGTAGCTCCCAGGAGGGCAGTGGACAGGCTGGAGGACTCCCAGGGGGCAGCGACGGCAGCAGAGGGCCTGCAGGCCGGACAGCAGGGCTAACTCCTGGACTCCTGCCCCTGCGAGCTGCGGAGGCCACGCGTTTTGCTGGGCATATGTTCTCTTGGTCAATTAACGACTCAACAAAACTGCCTCCAGACTATACACAGTTTAAAGGGATGTCACGTGTTTTGGACAAATACCCATGATGGAGACACACATATAGCACTGACTAGTATATTTACAACATCACCTGCTTATGCTCTTTAAAGACCATCTGATGGATGACGATGTGACTGTGACTGATTGTTTTGAGGCATTTGGCAAAATACACTGTGTGTAACAGCTGCTTTTTTTTATTTTAAAAATGTTTACATATATGTACAATTGTCCTTGTATGCTGCTATAAATATGAAAAGTAAAAAAACAAAACAAAATACATGTTTAAAGTTAGCATATGGGATATTGGCCTCTCAAAGCTTTAATGTCCTGCGGAAAAATCCTATATGCCTTAGCCCTGCATGCTAGTGTCTATTATGGGATGTTGTTTCCTTAGATGTGGAAAACAATAAACAGAAGCGCCATGCACACAGCATCACTGTCTACAATGAGGATGGGCTTCAGAACGCCAAGTTCTGAATCCACTGTTGTCCCTTAGAAAACTTGCTACATTTGGGTCATGTGAGTTCATTTTGGTGATATTTCTACATATATCTGTCATGCGGATTATCCATTAACATACCAGTTCCTTTACTGTGCCATGTTATAGTGTAAGGTCTCAGGAGTTCTGTTCAAGGTTCAGTTAAATCCTAAGCCAATGACAAAAAGAAAATGGTATCCAGATGTGAGACTCGGCTTCTTCCCCTTTGTGGCATCTCAGAGGGTGTTCGTATCGTCTGAAGAGCAGATAGATTTGCAGTGATTCCGTGAGGCTGGGTTTCTATAAAAGTTGAAGTAAACAGTTTTGATGTATCACATGTAAACAGTTGATCTTAAATGGATGTCTCCCATAGCTGCACAACAGAGAAAAGCAAATTGTACATTGTGAAGGCAGGAAATAGACATATTCTGAGCTATGAAGATGAAAAAGATTTGGTGATTACATACTTATGTGATTGTGGACACACACTCCAAATGTTTAATTTAAGAAGTCTCATAAATGAATAAAATAAACTCTAATTTTAGTTCTCTCTTACCTCTAAATCTGTTTCAACCTTTTAAACAACTGTCATCTTTTAATACAAAAAACCTCACATCTTCATTTAATGTAACTCAAAATTTTGAATAAATTTAATATTGTGTCTCAAATGAAAAAATTTAAAATATTGTTCTTTTAAACAATACCCTTCTTTCCCCAGGATTCTGATATAGGCAGCTAGAGCAGCGGTTCTCAACCCACCTGCCCATTTCAGTGATCTGGGGACATTTTTACAATCCCACTGCCTGGACAATGCACCAAATCAAAGTCTCTCTGAGTGGGATGCAGGCATCTCTGTATTTTAAAAGCCCTCAGACAATCCCATGTACAGCCAACACTGAGCACTGACCTCAGGGAAGTATGATTCCATCAGTGCCACCACCACCCACGTAAAAATCACTGCCTGGGCCCATGACCAGGTTATACACCCTCCAATTCCATCTCTACCTCCTAGAAAATTGTCCTCTCTTGGGAGCTGACATATCAGAGTACAATGATGCATCCAGGGAAGGATGCCAATTCCTTAATTCCCTCACCTCTTCCCTCTCCCTGCCTCTGCCACCAGTTCTTTATATTGGTCCTGTTCATATCTAATTTCTGTGATGTTCAGTAACGCGCCTTAATGGACTGGAAACAACTTCGGCATGATTAAATATGAATGCAACTCAGTTCACCAGAGAAGGAAGGCCAATTTTAAAAAATCTACCTGGTGAATTATGTTTCATAAAATACAATTTGGGTATAATTATAAACACGAACAAAGAAAGCCTACATGTGACTTAGGTTGCATCCAATTTCCACTTTTACTGGAAATCTGAGGCATGTCATTGTATAACTAATGAGTTTCTGGGAATGAGAAAGAAGAAACAGCTAAAGGACTAAGTGGATATTTGTCTCAGATTCCCTTAATATGTTCTCTTGAAGCTTCATGGACATCTTACTCTGATGCCCAGGTCGGCCACCCCACAGGACTGTGGCACAGCCTCAGGTTATCTACCTGAGAGACTATCCCCATCTGGAAAGAGCAAAAGCAAGCAATGAAGCAATTTATCTGGGGAAAGAAGGGGGTGTTACACTTTGGCAATTCCCTAGGGAGGAAAGGAGTGAGATCACCTTAGGTTTTACTACCAACACACATATCATGAAAACCTGGACGCTTGTTCACAAGTTTTTTCTTTTTAAGGCCTGAAAGGTGAATGCTGGGGATCTGAGTCATCTTCTTCTTCATCATCTTTAACCATTTCCCGTATTAACATAGGAAGATAATTTCTGTACAATTAACAAAGCACCGATTGTTTTTACAGTCTTTTCTATTACAGTCATCTAATCAGCTTTTAATGTGTTTTCTTACTGATTCTGAGGTGAGGGAGTTAAAATCTGAATGACCCATGGTTACCCTGAGCCCCATAATTTAGGTTCAGGATGAAAGAGGCTCCAAAATAGTTTTTAAAACCAAAAAGCCTCGGAACCCAGGACCCACTAGCAGATAAATCTGCCCAGGCTTCTAAAGATTTGTTTTATTTTACTTTTTTTGAAAAATTATTTCTGAGAAGATCAACATTATAATGTAACTGACCACAACAGAGCCTGGACATCAACTGAGGTAATTCTTCTTTAATTATATTTTTCACTTAAGCCTCCGAGGGCTGTTCTGCCTCTAAACTCCACTGTATCTCAAAGTTCACATAATGGATCTGTCTGTAAGAGTGATTAAGATGTAAAAGAGGACTTGGTATTTAAGTCGTGAACCATATTTTTATAAATCTGGTTTTTTAAAATTTCACCATACCCTTTGTCTACTCTAAATATTACAAATTTTAAAGTCCCCTTTCCTTGTTGCCGAATTCCACCTCCATCTCTAAGACACTGATCTGATTTTCTGTCTCGGATTCCTACTTCTACTGGGTGTTATTAGCCAGTGAAAGGCCTGAGTATGCAAACTGGGCATGGAAATGAGGCTAGTTTAATCTCTGGCATTTCCAGGTATATCAAAAAACTGATAAAGCAAAATACATTCTCTGTTTATTTCAGGTTGTAATATATCAGCAACACTGAATAATAAAAGATATAAATATATAGCAATGAATCATTAATATAGACCAAATATTTCTAGAATTTATTAATCCAGTGATTAATTTGCAAATATAAATCTGAGCCCTGAAGCCCCAAGAATCCCCTATTTTTCAAATTTAAATCTTTTCCTTCTGCTTATGAACGAAGAGGAAAAAAGAGCTCTCTCTTTTAAAATAGGAACTCACAGATAACCGATAGTGACCAAGGACATCGGCACATGGAAGCAGCTTTCACATACCCTGGCACTTTGCCGGTTCCCTTTCTTCTCGTCAGGAAGTGGAGGCATTGGGTAGGGGTATTTTCTGCTGGAGGCAATAGACCCAGTTGATGAAGAAGGAGACTTGGCAGGAGATAAAGTCCTGAGGCGTTGAGAACACATGAAATAAATATTACGTGATGGCCTAATATCTTTTTCAAATATCTGAAAAGTGGGTTCAGAACAAACCCTCTGATTTCTACTTTCATAGGCCACTACTGCAGAGGGTCAGCTACTGGGAGATAATCTGTCATTCACAACATTGGAATGCTGGAATTTTATTTTCCTAATTTCATAACTGCAATGGATTATTTAAATGTTATACACAGACTCATACTTTCAACTAGAAAGCCAAGAATGAAATTTCCTATAGAATAAAAAGCTAAAATGGAGAAGGGATAAAATTATTCTAGCAGCTCATAATGGTAAATTAAGTATACAAAGTCTCAATATTCTGCCTTATTTTTTTACCACTTAATGTAAAAAAAATATTTTTAGCACAGTTATTCCAATTCTATTTTTTAGGTCCAAAAATACAATACTATTGCTACATTAGTTGATAAGTCACACACCAGTTTACACAAAACTCATGCATTCAGAGGCCAGTGTGTTAGTTGTGAAAGAACAAAGGCAAATACAGAGATTTTAATAAGAAATTAGTAAACATGCAAGCAGTAAGGAGTGCAGAGTTCCAGCCAAACAAAGAGTCTGATGAGAACATACAAAAATGGTCTGATTAGTCTCTCCAATCAGCATGTCTGTACAGGGGAGGGTTCTAGGCCATAGAGGTGGATTTTGATGACTCATGTAGGGAGCACTTGATATGTCAATAAGGTGGCTATACTTTGACAAGAATTTTACTAAAACTAAAACAAACACAATGGCAAGATCCCTTCCTCCTTGGATAACGTGTTCTCTTCATCATGGAGGTATTCCATATGACAGATATGGCATGTATGCTGTTCTTATTTGATTCTGCATGTGCAGTGGTAATATTTGCGACTAAACTGAGCACACTGGAAGAGCCCGTATTTGCCATCTTAACTTAAAAAACAAAACAAAACAAAAAAACAAACAAAAACAGCTCAGACTGAAAAGTGTCAACTTACAACCACATCAGTGGAAAACGGATGTGAGGGTTTGGCAGTAGCCATCCATTCACAAATGTCACCACTGCACATCCATGACTCCTCAATTCCCGGGTGTTAGTGGCCCACGTCACTGAACTGCTAGCACTGCCACGTCCGAGCTCAAGTACGGATTTCAGTAGGATGCATCTTATCTGCGTCCTGTGACTGCCTCTGCCAGGGGCTGGCTCGGGGAAGATCGTGGCCTACGCTGCATGCCACGGCATCAAGATGTCTTTTTTCCTCCCTTAGTTTAAATTTTATTTCCCATCCATATATTATCCTTTGCTCTGGTTCTGCCACAGTTTTCAAATCAGTTTCTATTTTATGGACACTGAATGAAGCTAATGGTTTAAAATAATTTTTTCCTACAAACCCTAAGATAGAACGAAGTGAACATTCTCACTCAATTTTAAGAATCAAGAGTGATTCAGGTCACTTTTAATCTGTAATGCTTAATGTTCTATTTTTGGAAAATGTCCAGGACCACTCCTTAGTGTGAATGTTAGAATAATTCAGCTGTTCGACTTCTCTTGTGTCGATGCTCTCCACTGTGGAGCACATGGGTAGAACAAGAATATTAGTACTTCAATCCTCTCAAGTACTATTAAAGCAATGTACTACAGCATATTCTTCTAATTCAGGAATTACTGACTTTTAAAACAGGACTGTGATCTTTAGTAAACAAATTCAGTTCATGTAGAATGAAGATAAACTTTTGTATTTAGATAAGTACATCTTTCTAAAACAAGAAATACTAACCTCGGTTTCAATTTTTAGCCTAATCACTACTGATAAGATATTCAAGTTCAAGATACAAGTAAGGTAAACAAACATATACCTAAATCTTGGTTTAATTTGCTATAGTGTGTGTGTCCACAGCAGGAGCCATTTGCTTATAGCTTCAAAGTCATGCCAGCCATTCACTTGGCCATGGGTCAAAATGACCAGCTTTGTATATACATACATGGCCATCCCAGTGGGAAGTGCTTGAAGTCCAGTTCCCCTCAAATACCTCTCCATGACCAAAGCCAATAATGACTTAAAACAAAAGAGGAGGTATTCTCCAGAACCCCAAAGAAACTGCACTTATACTACTTCTCACATAAACCGGCTGGTTAACTAACACTTGGACCCTGAGGGAGAGAAGCCAAGCAGGACAGTTTCAGTTGGGGGGGGG